TGGGGGGTTATGGGCGCACTGACCCGCTTCTGAAACAAGCCCTTTTATCCCAATGGTCTAGTGGTTGGGATTCTGACAACAACAACGGGAAACGAGTGGAGCTGCAAAGCTGGACAGATACAGGGAGCTTTCCTAAAATGACACTGGCACAGTTCGAACGGACGGTGAACGAGAGCAACAAGGGTTACGTAGCACTGGTTCTGGTAGCAACAAAGGAGGAGAAGCCGAGTTTGGAGCTACCTTTAGCAGTGAAGGAGATCTTGGAGCAGTACAAGGATATAATGCCCGACGACCTACCCACAGGCGTACCTCCAGCACGCACCTACAAGGACGAGATCGTGGAGGAACCAGGTGCGAAACCCGTCTCAAGTGCACCATACCCACTGAGTCCGACCAAGCTGACAGACATGAAGAAACAGATAGAGTATATACTGGACACACAACTGATCCGCCTGTCAGAATATATCTATAGCTTATACTGTTGTGTAGGCTGTAGTGGGGTATTCCATAGGGGGTACAACCCAGTTAGGGTTTCATATTTGTACTGCCTTCATTCATAGTTCATTCATTCCTGTTGAGCTATCTTCACATGGTATAGAGCGGGTCCCTCTTAAGGACCGTTTTTTTTAAGGGCCCACCCACGAATTTTTCTGCCCGGAGCGCGCCCTACTCTCCCCGAGGCGCGCTCCCCCTAGTGCTTTTCGCGCTGCCACTGTGGGCCCCCGCGAGTCGCGCGCGCAAATTTTTTTTTTTAGCGCGCGCGGCCCGGGCCCACGTCGCGCTGACCTTACGGCCGCGCCGCGCCGCCCTCTCGGCCCGGCTGCGCCCCGCCGCCCTCGATCCGGCCGCGCGGCCGCTTCGTCGCGGCCGCGGGCCCCGCTTTTTGACGGCCCCGCCGTCCCTTTTGACGGCCCGCCGCTGCACCCTTACGGCCCGCCGCTGCACCTGTCCCGGCCCCGCCGGCCCCTGTCCCGGCCCCGCCGCTGCACCTCTGCCGGCCCCGCCGTCTCCTGTCACGGCCCCGCCGTCCCCTGTCCCGGCCCCGCCGCTGCACCTTGCCGGCCCGCCGCTGAGCCCTGACGGCCCGCCGCTGCACCTATCCCGGCCCCGCCGCTGCACCCTGACGGCCCGCCACTGCACCTGTCCCGGCCTCGCCGGCCTCTGTCCCGGCCCCGCCGCTGCACCTTGTCGGCCCGCCGCTGCACCTGTCCCGGCCCGCCACTGCACCTGTCCCGGCCCCGCCGGCCTCTGTCCCGGCCCCACCGCTGCACCTCTGCAGGCCCCGCCGCTGCACACCCGGCCTCGCCGTCCCCTGTCCCGGCCCCGCCGCTGCGCCCCGACGGCCCCGCCGTCCCTTATCCCGGCCCCGCCGCTGCACCCTGACGGCCCCTACACTGCAGCAGGGCCACCCGGGAGCAGCCGGACCGCCCAGCAGCAGCCGAGCCGCCCAGCAGCAGCCGAGCCGCCCAGCAGCAACCGGACCGCCCAGCAGCAGCCGAGCCGCCCAGCAGCAGCCGAGCCGCCCAGCAGCAGCCGAGCCGCCCTACGCCGAGCCCCCCGGGAGCCGAGCCGCTGTGCACCCGAGCCGCCCGGTAGCCGAGCCGCCTTTCTGCAGAGCTGCACGACCTGCCCTGCCTGGTGAGCACAGTCCCACTGTCACTGCGAGCTCTTTCCCTACTGCTTGCACTGCTTCGCTGTCGTCGCCATGGCTACCCCTAGTGTCCTAGCTTTTGACGCGGAGGGTCGCGCCATTGATTTTGAGGTCTGGCTAGACGACCTGCAGCTGTTCTTACAGTGCGACAGAGCTGACGGCCTTTCTCTCTTTGACCTCACCTCTGGCACCTCTCCTGCTCCTGCTGCCGATGCTGATCCCACTGTCCGCTCTCAGTGGGCCACCCGCGATGCTGCTGCACGTCTTGCTGTGCGTCGCCACCTCCCTACCTCTGAGCGTGCGCACTTTAGTCAGTACAAGAGTGCTCAGACCTTGTACGACGCTGTAGTTGCGCGCTACTCCTCCCCTGCCACTGCTGCACTGAGCCGTCTCATGCTTCCCTACCTCTTTCCTGACCTCTCTGCCTTTCCCACTGTCGCTGACCTCATTACGCACCTCCGCACTAGTGACACTCGCTACCGCGCCGCCCTTCCTGCTGAGTTCTGCGCTAAGAACCCCCCCCCCCATGTACATCACTCTCTACTATGTAGTCGCGCGCCTCCCTGACTCCCTTCGGGTAGTTAGGGACCACTTTCTCGCAGTCTGTCCCACCACTCTCACCGTCGACCTCCTCGAGAAGGCCCTCCTCTCAGCTGAGAAGAGCATAGTTGCTGTAGGGGCTTCTCGTGGTGACCCTCGCACCCCCATCTTTGAGGGGTGCTCTCCTTCCCCCTTGCTGCCCTCTGTTGCCTCTGCTGCTGCTGCCGACCTGCTTGGTCTTGAGTCGGTCGGCGCGGCGTCTGCCCCTAGTGGGAGACGTCGCTCTAGCAAGGGCAAGGGGGGCAAGGGCGCGGGTGGAACTGGAGGGAGCGGTGGAGGTGGCGGCGGTGGCGGCGGCGGGAGTGGGGGTGGCGGCGGGAGTAGTGGTGGTGGTGGTGGTGGTGGCAGCAGCGGCGGAGACCTTGATGACCGTGAGCAGGGGGGCCTCAGCCTCCTTCTTCTCCTTGCGCTTTCGCTCCTCCTGCTTCTGCTTCAACTGCGCCTGGGGCGTGGGTGCGGGAGATTAGAAGCAAGTACACACAAGAGTCAGGCAAAGGGATCCATGGTGAGGCAAATGTTACAACCCTTTTCTTTGCTTGCACTCCTTCTCCTCATGCTCAAGCTGCAGCCACAGCTGGAGAGGGAGCAAAGGAGCAAGGCACATGCTGACAGGATAGAAGGAATTGTGGGGGAGGGAAAGGAATGCTACTGCCACACCCACCCTGAGGTCCTGAGCAAGGTCGTCCTTACCTGCAATGCCTTTCACGTATGTACTGCCTTTCTCACTGCCTTACTGCCTTTCTCACTGCCTCACTCACTGCCTCACTCACTCCCTCACTGCCTCACTCATTGCCTTTCTTACTGCCTTTCTCACTGCCTTTCTCACTGCCTTTCTCACTGCCTCACTCGTTGCCTCACTCACTGCCTCACTCACTGCCTTTCTCAGTGCCTTCCTCAATGCCTTACTTGTTGCCTCACTCGTTGCCTCACTCACTGCCTTACTCATTTACCAAGATGGGGTAAACCATCGTCCCTAGCATTTCTCAAACTGATATCCAGTGCCTCAAGGTTCGTCAGCTTTCTCACGTGCACCATGGCTCGGTCACAGTACAAGTAAAGTCAAGAGGAGAGCAAGTGAGGCAAGACAGGCACAAGACCCAGCTGGGTGCAAAAACGCTGATGGTCACAAGGCGCGAGTGCCTTGGTGAACACATCAGCAGTGTTGGCCTCAGAGGCCACGTACGCAAGTCGCAACTGACCACGCTGCTGCAGCTCACGAGCAAGGAAGTAGCGGAGAGCAATGTGCTTCGTTCTGTGCTCCAAGCGCTGCTCTCGACACAAGGCCAGCATGGCCTTGTTGTCTACGCACAGCACTGGAGGAGAACGAGGCGGCTCTCCAAGGTCAGTCAGCAGGTAGGTGAGCCAGCGAAGCTCCTGTGCAGCCATGGCCCCGGCGTAGATCTCAGCCTCACAACTGGAGCCGAGAATCGAAGACGAGCGAGTAGACCGCCACGAGACAGAGCCGGAACCAAGGCTGAAGGTGTAACCCTGTGACGACCGCTGCGTAGCCTGGTCGTCAGCCCAAGAAGCGTCCGCGTGGCCTGTAAGGACCACTGGACTCCGCCCTCCAAGCACTAGCCCCATGCCCGACGTACTGCACAGGTAGCGCAATACCCTCTTCGCTGCAGCCATGTGCTCTGGTCGGTGTCTCCCAGGAGCAACATAGCGTGCAAGAATGCTCAGAGGGTATGCAAGGTCAGGTCGTGTGCAGGTCATCAGGTACATGAGGCAGCCAACAAGCTCTGCATACGGACCACTCGACTCTACGGACTCATCCGAAGGCAGAGCTGAGAGTGAGTGGCGAGTAGGCAGAGGAGTGGCCTGAGGCGAGGAGTACGTGAAGCCGGAGCGCTGAAGGACCTGCTGCACCATGTGTGACTGAGTCAAGGTAATGGTGCGGCGTGCTCTGTCCCGAGTGATCTGCAAGCCAAGGTAGCTGCGCAGTTCACCCAGGTCGGTGCACGTGTGTCTCTTCAGTAGCCCGGACTTCACGTAGGCGAGTCCAGCAGTGTCCGCTGTGGCAAAGACCAAGTCGTCGACGTACACGAGGATGTAGAACGGCGGCACGGAAGTGTCGGTGCGCAGAAACAGCGACGGGTCAGCAGTAGAAGGAGCAAACCCAAGAGCCGCAAGCGTAGTCCTCAGTGTGTCGTGCCACTCACGCGGTGCCTGGCGGAGACCGTAGACTGGCCGTCGGAGGCTCCACTGGGTGCCAGGAGGGAAAGTCCCAGTGAAGCCAGGCGGACGGCGCAGCCAGATCTCCTCGTGCAGGCTACCCTGCAGGAACGCAGTGCTGAAGTCGAGAGAGTGAAGCTCGTAGTCGCGCTGAGCGGCTATGTGCAGCAGCACCCGAAGAGTGGTCATCTTCGGGGTGGGAGAGAAGTGTCAGAATAATATATAGTTTTATATATTGTTTTGTAACTGCCTGTAGTGTAGACTAGTGTAGTTATATAATGTTCTGTTTTGGTGGTGCACCTTTCACTTTGCCTATATGTACTGCTCGCTCTATAGTGAAACCCCTCCTTCTCTTTTCATACTCTCGACATTTTCCAACTTACTCGAACTCCTAACTAGCCGTGGCTCCTAAGTCACGCTAGTTTCTTCACAAGAGGGTCTGAAAGTAGTCAACTCCCTGCCGCTGACTGAAGCCACGAGCAACGTACCGCACCTTGAAGACAGGTGGAGAGCCTGGCGGCCGCTTCACCTTGTGGACCACGAGCGCGTGACGAGCTTCCGCGTGCCGAAACAGATGTGCTTTGCGGACTTCCAGAGGGAGGTGGAGAGGAAGGTTGGCGTTCCAGTGGCAGGCCAGCGGTTTTGGCTGTGGGCGCGTCGGCAGAACCACACGTACCGCCCCAAGCGACCGCTTAGTGCCGAAGAAGAGGGCATGACGGTGAGAGGGACGGAAGGTGGGGGAACGGGGAGGGGGCGATGGAAGCGGAGAAAGAGTGAGAGCAAATAGCGTTCATTACACTCTGTTCGGCCCCTTCCTCGCCTGATTTCCCTCCGCTCTAGTCTCTTACACTCTGTTCGGTCTACCAAGATGGGCCAGCTGAGGGACTTAATGTGCGGGGCACACGCAATGGACCTGCGTCTGCTCTCTCAACTTTTTCCAACCCCTTTCTCCCCTTATCCTTTCGTCTCTTTCCCTTCTCTCACTCGCCTCCTCTTTCAGGTGCGACAGCTGAGGGACTCAGTGAGCAAGGCGCACCGCAAGGACCTGCGTGTGTTCCTAGAAGGCCTGCCAACTCCTCCTGTAGGTCCTCTCACCCCCTCGTTGCTGCATTTCAATTCCTCATGAGGCTACTTGTGAGGCGCCTCGTTCCCCTTCCCTTACCTGTAACCCGATCTCGCCACGACCACACAGACGACATTCCTTCCTTTACTCTCCCCACCCTGCTCACGCACTCCCTCCCTCCTGTTTATTAAAGTCCTCCTTGTCCCAGTCCCTGCCTCCCACCCTTCGTTATCCTGACCTGACTGCACCGGGCCAGCCATTACTTGATCCTTCAACCCCCCACCCGCACCCGTACCCTGGAAGCTGACTGGATCAAGACCCAGTGTCCATTGCTTTCGAGGTGACTATCTAAGTCGATGCAAGAGTCACCAACCCACCCATTTCCTCCTTCCTTCGTAACATCTCTACACCAGAACCGGCCAGTGGCTCCGCTACATGAGAGGGCCAAGGACGACATTCTGCTCTTTCTCAAGTTCTACAACCCACTCACTGAGACGCTTAGGTGAGAGACACTTGGATGAGATGCTTTGGTGAGAGATGCTTGGGTGAGTCATGCTTAGGTGAGAGATGCTTTGGTGAGAGATGCTTGGGTGAGTCATGCTTAGGTGAGAGATGCTTTGGTGAGAGATGCCTGGGTGAGTCATGCTTTGGTGAGAGATGCTTAGGTGAGTCATGCTTAGGTGAGTGATGCTTAGGCGAGAGATGCTTTGGTGAGAGATGCTTGGGTGAGTCAAGCTTAGGTGAGAGATGCTTTGGTGAGAGATGCTTAGGTGAGTCATGCTTAGGTGAGTGATGCTTAGGTGAGAGGCGTTCTTAGGAGGATGGTCAGTTTGGAAAGCAGGGGTGTAATGCAGGCTTGGAAAACACCTCCTCCTCCAATCCTCCTCTCCCCACCTGCTCCTCTCTCCCTATTCCCTCTCCACCCTCTTCTTTTGGAGGAGATTGGGTTGTCTGATTGTGAAGCCTGGGAAACCCTTGCCACACCTTTCGACGCATTTCTTACATGTCTTAAATATCGCTTTTTCCCTGTTCACACTCTTTCCCTAACCTCCCTCCTCTCCCCTTTCTCCTTTTTCCCTCCCACCCACCTCACAGTGCAGGCACGTCAGTTCGTGAAGCTCGTCAAGAAAGCACTTTTTGATGCGGATTTTCACGCGTCCGGAATGTAAAATCTTACCCTGTTCCTCTCTCCTTCCTCTCCCTTTCTACTGCAGGTACGTGGGTCGTCTCTTTGTGAATCTTGGGCAGGCTCCTGCCGATGTACGAGGGAAGATCAACGAGATGTGTGGCCTTGCTCCCACCGATGACATCCTGCTCTTTGAGGTGCGTGTGGGGCAAGGAGGGAGGGGGGGGGGGTTGGTAGTACTGTTGGTACTGAGTGCTGAGTCGGTTCAAGAGGGAAGGTCAACGAGATGTGTGGCCTCGCTCCTCACACACAACATTTTGCCAATAGTTGTGCTGCATTTGCCAAAAATTGGAGCACTCATAGCCCAGGAAACTCAGCCGTCTCCCCTTCCCCTCCCCCCTTCCCTCCTCCTCCAACACCCCAGGAGATAAAGTATGAGCCGAGTGTGATGTGCGAGGCCATGGACTGCACGGTCACATTCAAAGGCGGGCAACTAGACGATGGCGACATTATCTGTGTGCAGCGCGCCAAACAACTCGCCCAAGAGGGTGCAGTTGGGACTGCCGGCAGTGGTGGGAGTGCGGTGAGGGTGAGGTACCCTGACGTGCCGTCCTTTTTGGAGTATGTGCGGAACCGGCATGTGGTGCACTTCCGGCGGCTGGAGAAGCCCACAGAGGACGCTTTCTGCCTCGAGCTGTGAGTTCCCAACCTCCGAATGAGCTCCCACCTGAGTGTGCCCTAGTAGTCTGATATCTTGTGAGGTGGGTCACTCTCTTGTGGGGTGTGCTGTGCAACGGGCAGGTGGTGCATTTGTGGCACGTGGAAAAGCCCATGGAGCTGTGAGTGAATTGCTTATGATTGTACCGTAGTGTAGTGTGCCTGAGTTTCAGGTATAAGATGGTGCCACTTTCTCTTTCCTGGAGTAGGAGTAGGTGCACATCCGGCGGCATGTGGTGCACTTCAAACGCCTAGAGAATCTCAAAGAATCAAAGATGACGCCTTGTGCCTCGAGCTGTGCGTCCAAAATAGAGGTGGGTGTTGATTGTTTTTTTTCTCAACGCCTTCTTCTTGTTGCAGCCCAAGCTGGACAAACCTGAAGGTGGGCATCCTCTGCCTCGTGCTGTCTGTGAGTGCTCAGTGCCGTTGGGTCTCCCACTGACATGGTGGTGAGGTGAGTCGGTGACAAGGCTGGTAGAGGAGCTAGGGCTTTACGTCTCGTCCGAGACCCACCACTCACACCAGGCTCCATACCCTCTCCTTCCTCCACCATCCTTCCTGCGGCAACAAGCAGCACGCGTATGAAGTCGTGGTGGTGAGGCTAGCAGAGGACCCTTCCAAGATCCGCCTCACCATGCGCAGATGCAACTCAACCTAAGCCGCCTCTTGTCAAGCTCGCCCTTCTGTGTTGCTCTGCTCCCTCTCCCTCCCCCTCTCCCTCTCCCTCTCCCTCTCCCTCTCCCTCTCCCTCTCCCTCTCCCTCTCCCTCTCCCTCTCCCTCTCCCTCTCCCTCTTCCTCTCCCTCTCTCCCCGGCAGCTCCAAAGAGCACACATATGACGACGTGGTGGCGAGGCTGGCAGAGGAGATAGGCCTGGACAACCCTTCCAAGGTCCGACTCACCACGCACAACTGCTACTCGCAGAAGCCCAAGCCGCCGGCCATCAAATACCGAGGCGTGGACTGCCTGGCTGACATGCTCGTGCACTACGACCAGGTGAGGAGAAGGGGAAGGATTAGCATATGGATTGTGTCTGGGGTAGGTTTACCGAGACTCTAACTCACTGCAGCCGGCCGTCAAGTACCGAGGCGTGGACTGCCTGACCAACATGCTCGTGCACTTCAACCAGATGTGGGTGGGGGGAAGAAGAATTGGCATATGGGGTGCGTGTGGGCTAGGTTTACCGACTCTCTAACTCAATGCCACCCTCCCATCAAGTACCGAGGCACGGACTGCCTGGTTGACATGCTCGTGCACTACAGCCATGTAGGGAATAAAGGACGGGAGGAAGGGGGGCTTGGTGAGGTACAGCGTTTGGGTTTGGTTTATGGGGTAAGGGTTATGGGTGTCATTATGCACAACTGTCACCCGCAGAAGCCCAAGCCCCACCGACCGCCCATCAAGTACGAAGGCGTGGACAGCACATGCTCATCTTCGTAAATTCCCCGAATCCCCCTCCATTAGTCCCCTTTGTCTTGCAGTCCTCTGATATCCTCTACTTCGATACACTCAACATCCCTCAGCATTAGCTGGGCCTAGGGCTGCTATGGCCACTGCCTTATAATTCCCCCTTTCCGTCTTCCCCTCTGCTGTTCCCCTGTCGTTTGTGTCTTGCAGTCGACAGATATCCTCTATTTCGAGACGCTCGACATCCCGCTGCCAGAACTGCAGCAGCTCAAGACTCTCAACATCACGTTCCACAACAGCAAGGCAGAAGATGTGAGGGGAGGGAGGTGAGGGGGAAAGAAGAAAGCTGTAGGTGGTGAGAGCATGGCGGATTAGGTGAGAGCAAGTTGTGTGGGTGGTGAGAAAGGTATGCGCGTGTTTGTGTCAATGGGAGCTGCAGAGAAGCCTTAACGTCACATTCCACAATAGCAAGGTGAAGGCGGTGTGGGGATAGATGTGAGCTGATAAATAGGTGCATGCATTTTGTTCTTGTAGATTTGCACCCGCTTATCAAACCTGCTCCTGGTGATGTCTCACCCATGAGTGTTCTTTTTTGGTTCGTGGTGCTCTTTGCTGCAAGAAACAGGTTCGAGATGAATACGCAATGGATCTTGCTATTTTGAGGTTTGATAATTGTCTAATCAAACCAAACCGGTTCGTACTGAGCAAAGAAAGAGTTGGAGTTTGGAACCAGCTCTAACGTTTTGGTATTTCAATCAACTGAGAATGCAATCGCGGAGTTGGCCGCATAGTCCTGCCCGATTTGTTTCGAATCGGAAACGGGGTTTGACGTGGCTAGAGATAAATAACACAGTGAAATTGCCCGAACCGTCGAACTGGTTCGACATGAAACAGGTTTGGTCCGTTTCGAACCAGATGCCAAACAAATTGTGGTCGGCTCTGTTTGCATCGAATTGTACTGCGGTTGGATCTTTTCTCAAGCCTAGTTCTGAGTATTGTCCATGCTTCATTCATGACCTGCCTCCTGCACAATCATTTTTGTGAATCATGACCTGCCTCCTCTTCCTAGGTGTCGGTGCACAACATTGGGATGCCCAAGAAATCTACGGTGGCAGGTGCTTGCGGACCTAAAGACCAAGGTAATGGAAGGTTTCAGTCAGTACCCTCAAGCAGGGTGTTTCAATTTTCGAAGCAGACCTCAAATTTCTTTGAAATTTCTTAACCCGCCCTTCAAAGCAGAAGACACATTCTCCCCCTGTCCCACCTCTTTGTGAAGTTCTTGAGTTGAAATCGGACCTCACACACACCCCACACTGCGTGCAAACCTCAAAACTGATGCATCCATGTAGTGCAAGGAGCTGTGTGAGAGTCTGATTATGCTAACGTTGTGCAGGTTTGCTTCCAGTGCATCTGCAACGGAATCTTTCATATCTCCCCTACACTCGACACCAACCTTGCCCCCCTGTACCCCTCCGTACCCCTCTGTCCCAGTCATTCTATTCCTGTTCAGGGTGGAACTGTGGCATCCTAAGGCGAATTTTCGGATGCTGCAGGTGTTCATCAACAAGATCTTCCCTACACTCTATACCAACCTTTCTGCCCTGCCCCTCCGTACCCCTCTGTCCCTGTCTGTACCATTTTGTATCCCTGTTAAAGGTGGACCTGTGACACCCTAAAGCAGAGTTGCGGATGCTGCAGTTGCTCTACAAAAGGAACTACAAGATCTTTCTCGCTACCATACCAACCCTGCTGCACTGTTCCTATCTATACATTACCCCTCTGTACTGCTGTGTACCGTTTGCACCTTCTCTTTCAGGTGGAGCTGTCACATCCCAAGGCGGAGCTACGTTTGCTGCAGGTGTTCTACAACAAGATCTACAAGATCTTTCCTCTTACTGAGCAGATTGAGTACATCAACGACCAGTACTGGGGCATAAGGGCAGAGGAGGTGAGAAGAGGTAGCAAAAATGGAAAGGATAATTCAATCCACGTGTACATCAACATTGCGCCCAATCACCCCCAACAACTCGTGACCAACAACAGCACGTCCCCCACCCCCCAACCAATTCGTGGTAAGTATAATTGACCCCACCTCTACACATTTCTCATCCAGTTGTCATCCCTGTTCTCTGTTGAGCTATGTCTACTCCAGTCCCATCTCCCGGCACTTAGCCTTCTGGTCCGTCTACTCAGCCTACTGATCCGTCAGCCTCGACTCCGGAGGCGCAATGGCTAGAGGAGGATAGTGTACATGTCGTTTTCAAGCACTTCAAGGTTCCCATCCGCCCCGACGCCGTCGGGGCTGTCCGCGTTTACAAGTATTGCGCCATCGAGTTCAAGGGTGGTGCGTTTCGATGCGCTCAGCATCTCGCAAAATGGAAGGGACAGAGATCTCGCGACGTCCGCCGGTGCGGGAAGGTTCCGCCGGACGTGCGAGCGGCGGTGCGCGCGCATTACGAGAAGAAGGCATCCAACCGCGATGGAAAAAGGCGGGCCGAGGATGCTGCGCTCGACGCTGTGTGGGAGGTGCGAAGAAAGGCCGCATCACCGACTTCATTGGCGACGAGGCGAAATGCAAGAAGGGGCAAGGCGGACAACTCCGTCTGCTTGTTCTTTGCCGGCTGTCGCATTCCCGAACACCACGCCGACAACCCGTTGTGGCGCAACATGGGCAGGGCCATTAACAACGCACCTCACGGTTATGTCGCGCCGCGGCAAAAACTACGTGGGAGGAGCTGGGCTGAAGCAATGCCGCACGGGCATCGAGAAGGGGCTTCAGCCATCGCCGCGAGTTGGAAGAAGGATGGCGTCACCGTCTCCTCCGACCTGATGACCGATCGGTGCGGGAGGCCGCAGGCGAACGTCATGCTGGTCAACAATTCGGGAGCGGTGTTTGTCGAGGCTATCAACTGCAATATGGAGTCAAAAACCAGCGGCTACATCGCGTCCCTCTTCTGCCCCATCATCGAGAAAGTGGGGCCCGAAAACGTAGCCGCCCTTTGCATGGACGGGGGCTCCAACTACGGGGCCGCCTGCATGTAGCTGATGGCGGATTGGCCGCACATCGAGTACGTGCCGTGCGCTACGCACGTGCTCGACCTCCTGATGGAGGACGTGAGCAAAATCACGTGGTGCAAGGACATTGTGGATCGGTACGGGGACATGATCATCTACGTTCGCAACCACCATTTCACTCGCAATTTGTGAAAGAAACTAGAACGAGAATGTTTTAACTAGGGCCTAGGCTTAGGAGCCTAGGCCCAACTAAGGTATCGAGTGGAATCGGGCCAAGGGGGGAGAGTCGAGAAAGTTGTAAAGGTGAAAAGTGAGGTTCACTATAGGTTGAAGGAACATATAGCATAGGAAACAAAAGGGTGCACCACCTAACAAAGTTTGCAATAACTACACTAACTACAGCTACAGGTAGTTACAAATATAAATAATATATAAAGTCTGACACAATTACTTGAGGAGTGGGGCGGTGAAGGGAGGAAAGAGGAAGCAACTTGTGAAATCGGTGTGGACCAGGTTCGGCACCAACTATATCGCCCTCTCCAGGCTCGTCCAGCTGCAATCCACATTGTTGCAGATGGTGCTGAGCGAGGAGTATGCCAACTGGTTAGCGGGGACTAGGAAGCTGTCGGCAGATACCTTCCGCGGCTACGTCATGGACGACGAATGGTGGAAGAATGGAAGAGTGCTACCTACCTGGTGGAGCTCTTGGCGATTCCGTTCAAGGTGATGCGGGCCACTGACAGCAGCTCGAAAGGCATGATTCGAACCATCTACGACCTTATGCTCCAGCTGACCGAGGACGTGAACGCCAAGCTGGAAGCGGGGGAGAAGATTTTGCCGCGGGCGGTTGCGGCTGATATTGGGAAAATTGCTAGGCGCCGTTGGGACGAGAGCCTTGCTTGCGCGCTTCACCTCGTGGAGCGGATCCTGAACTAGGCAAATCAGGAAGAGGGTATATTTCGCAACGACGTGGAATGTACCCGCATCTTCAAGGCGTTCATCGCACGTCACTACGACGGCAAGACCTTCACCAACAAAGACAGTGAGGAGAAACGGGCCTCTCTTGTTTCGCAGGAGGGGCTCACGGCCTTCCTCACCCTTGAAGGCTCCTTCGGCCTCCCTGAGGCAATTCCCGACAGGGAGGCCGTGAAGGCAGGCAAGCACTCGATGGTGCAGTGGTGGGGATGGGATGGGACTGACCACCCCCACCTGGCCAGCCTTGCGTGCCGTGCCCTGACACAGCCGGTGTCGGCCTCGCCGTGTGAGCGCGGGTGGGCATAAGCAACAACATGTAAGCTTGTGTATCTAAGCTTCTGTAGTTGGGGACCGGCCAAGGCAACCCCTACCACTTCTACTCCTATGCACATTCCACCTTCCCCATTTGTCTTCGCCCGCCCCCCGCCAGGTGTTCGACGATGGCTCCACCTTTCACCCATCAGGCCTCGTCATGTCAGAGGACGATCTGCTGGGCCACTTCGCCTCCCCACTGCCCCTCCTCTGCACCTCAACCCGGAACCCTAAACCCCGTTGTAATCCTACGTATCCCCTTTTCTCTTCCTCCCAGGTGTTTGACGACGGGTCCACCTTCCACCCCTCAGTCCTGGACATGTCAGAGGACGACCTGCTGGGCCACTTCACCACACTCCACCCCTTTGCACCCTGCTGAACTTGAAACCTTTCTGTACCCCTGTGTATCTCCTTGTACCCCTCTGTTTCTTGCCAGGTGTTTGACGATGGGTCCAACTTCCACCCCTCGGTCCTGGACATGCCAGAGGACGATCTGCTTGGCCACTTGGCCTCCACCTTCAACCCAACCCTTAACCCTAATGTATCCCTACGTATCCCTCTTAACCACCTTCAGGTGTTTGACGACGGCTCTACCTTCCACCCGTCAGTCCTGGACATGTCAAAGGACGATCTGCTCGGCCACTTCGCATCCGGTGTGGCCAACGTGGCCGCCATCTCCCTCAGTGCCGACTACCCCACGCTCGCCGCCGTGCCGCATGTGTTTGCCAACTCGTACAAGAACGTCATTGCTGTTGCGCTTGCTCTGGATGATTATACCTTCCCCCTGGCCGACAAGGTCAAGGAAATCCTCGCGGTGAGTCCTTCCCACCTCCTTTCTCTCCGAGTGAGTGTTGCCTTGCACATCAGCCGTGTGCCCCCTGCTTGTCCCCACGCTCGCCGCCGTGCCGCACGTGTTTGCCAACTCGTACAAGAACGTCATCGCTGTTGCTCTCGCCCTTGATGATTACACCTTCCCTCTGGCCGACAAGGTCAAGGAGATCTGTGCGGCAAGTCCATTCCCCCTCTCACGCTTCCCCCCTCGCTATCATGGCCCCTCCTTTCTGTGGCACCTGTCCGTTTTTTTCTATCAATGGCTTCTGTGTTTCCTTGCCCATTTTCCTATCAATGCTTTCTTTAATCACTTGTCTCCGCCCCATCATGCTTCTCCTGATCCTTACCCAAACCCGCTTTCCAGGATCCTTCCAAGTTCATGGTGGCAGCTGTGGCGGCGGCGCCGGCAGCGGCAGCTGAGTCGGCCAAGGAGGAGGCCAAGCCGGCAGAGGAGGAGGAGTCTGACGACGACATGGGCTTCAGCCTCTTCGACAAGATGCACTGCTCTGCTCGGCTTTCGCAGGCTTCAGCCTCTTTGACTAGATGCGCTGCCGAACAAGGAGAATCGTAGTGATGCAAGAATGAAAGGGAAGGAATGGGATGGGACACACAAGGAATGGGACACAATTTCTACACATTTGGCGAAATAATATGATAGATAGATTTTTGCAATGGCGTTGACAGAATTCCGTCACAACACGAGTCGGTGAAGCAGGGTTGTAAATGTGCAAATGTGGCAACTTCAACGCTTTTGCTGTTCTATGCACAATCGGTGATGCTAGTTATCACAAAAAAATGTAGGAGTAGAACAAGGGTTTTTTTTGCAACAAAATTCTCTAAAAAGGAAGGTCCAAGCAAGCAGGCCGGCAGGAGCAGCACGCGGGCAGGTGCGGGCGGCGCTAGAGGGTGGCTCGCGGCCCGCGCGGGTAGGAAGCAGGCCGCGCGCGGGCGGGGCTGGTTGCCAGCAGGCGGTGGCGCGGGCTGCGCGGTGGCGAGCGGGCTGGCGCGAGCTGCGCGGGCAGTAAGTATAGTGGCGCGGGCTGCGTGGGCAGCGAGCAGGCCGCGCGGGCAGCAGGCAGGCCGCGCAGGCCGCCAGCAGGCCGTTCGCGGGCTGGGGCGGGCGGTTCGCAGGCTGGCGCGGGCTGGCGCTGGCTGGCGCGGGCTGCGCGCGGTGCTAGCGGGCTGCGCGCGGCGCTGACGGGCTGCGCGCGGGGTCCTAGCGGGCTGCTCGCGAGGTCCTAGCGAGAGGTTCGCGGGTCGCGCGGGCTGCAGCAGCAACGAAAAAAAGGAAGGCCACGCGTGGGCAGCGGGCCACACACGGGCAGGAAAGTAGGTGGGGTAATGCGGTAACAAGGTGGGCCCGAAATTCTAGGTCTTAAGGACCTCCTACTCTACAGTGCCCACTACAGTACCTGCAGCAGTTCTTATTACATAACATGGTACAGTCTCTTCTGTTCCAACGCCGACACCACCAGGTTCGAATCCTACTCCCGCCAGTTTGAAGCTGGGAACCTCATGAGGACAGCAGGGCAAGGAGCAGCAGAGGCATCATTACCACTGGCACCTGAAGCAGCAGCAGGACCACTGGTTAGTAGAATGTGGAGGAAGTCAACCGTAAGAAGTTCCTTTTACAAAAAGAGCCTGCAGGAAGTCAGCATGTATCAGTGCCTGTTCGTCTGCACCTGCTCGTAGTACAGCTGATGCTGATGCGGATGCTGCTGCTGGTTCACCTTCTACAGCTAATTCCTCGCCCCTTCTTCATCCTCGTCACCACTCGCCCCTCCTCTGCTCGCACTTGCCCCTCCTCTACTCCCAATCTCCCACTACCCCCTTCTCCCTTCCTCTGACACCAATCTGTCACTACCAAGTCCAATAGCCATCTGCTGCCTCTCTGCCTGCCTCCCTTCCTGCTGCCTTATTTGCTTCTACTTTCCCTTCCGTAACACTCAGCTGATCAAGGGACGAGAGCTGTTGCTCCTGCTGTCCACTAGCTTGCTACACCTGCTTCCGTTGCCGGAGCTGCAGAAAGTGGCTCAATAATAACTTCTTAACTTGCCTCTTCACTCCCTGCTGCGACAAAAAAGAAGCCACACTACTCCGTTTATGGGAAGGAATACTGCTGCACTTGTTTCTTTGCCCTTGGTTAGTAGTCCCCTGCTACTACCTTCCTTCTTGATTCACCAAATGCTGCTGCTGCGCCTCGTCCTCATGCCGCTGCTCCTGGTGGTGCTGCCTTCTCTGCCGCCGCCACCGCAGCCGCCGACGGTCAGAAATCATGCTGCTGAGACGGCTCGTGCCAGTGCACAAGGGCGAAAGGGGCAGACGGGGCAGGGATAGACGGGGCAGATGGGGCACATGGGGCACATGGGGCAGAAGGGACAGACGGGGCAGATGGGGCAGAAGGGGCAGAAGGGGCAGAAGGGGCAGAAGGGGCAGAAGGGGCAGACGGGGCAGACGGGGCAGACGGGGCAGACGGGGCATACCCATTAGCGTGTGGCTCGGGCAATTGGGCATTACTGGCCTGGCACGCTGTCAGCCATTGGATCATTAACAGGCAGATTGGGTGGATGGAATGGGATAGATAAAAAAATATGAAAAAGCGACGGGGAATACAAAAATGCTGGGCGAAAAAAGATTGTAGGGTGTGTCACGCAACACCTCCTGTGCCACAGGGAGGAGGGCCTGTGGTGCCCATGGATTGCTGGAACGGGCTGTGAAGTCGGCTGAACGGCTTGTTGCATGCCATGCCATGACTGTCAGGAGGCACAGCACATGTGACAAGTCGCTGGATGGTGGTGGTGGTACCACTGAAACACGGTAACGATGTGGTTGTGGTGCATCCGACTAAGGGAAAATGAATGACAAGCGCCTGCCGAGGCTGCTTCCCCAAATGCTGTTGGTTCCACGTGCTGCTGCTGCTTCACCGATGGCAGTTGGATAGAGCATGGAGAGTGTTGCTGTGATGGGAGGAGGTGCGGGGTAGGGGGACGTGCGATAGGGGGAGGTGCGATAGGGAAGGTCCAGCAGGGGGAGTTTCGAGAGGAGACGAGATGCGAGAGGGAAGGTGCGAGCACCAGGTTCCAAACTCACTGTGTGCCGCCTGGCGCCAACACTGCTGGCTTGCCACTTCGACAGGTACTTGCTTCATCAGGTGCCGCAATGGATACTCCTTTCCCGAGCTCACACATCCAGCTCCCCCTCGCATTCCCTTCTCCCAAAATCCATCCTCACCCCCCTCCCTGTCCCTCCTCCACCCCAGCGGAAGAAAGTGACTTCGCGGAGGTGTGATTGAAGCGAAGGGCGCGGAAGTGCGGGTGGGAGGCGGTGGAGAGGTGGAGCATGAGCCAGGGCATTATAACGAGGGAAAAGAGCATGACAGCACATGCGCTCCAAGCAGCCGCCACCACCACCAGCACCAGCAGCACCACCACCGCCGCCTGAGGTAACCCTTCCTGTAGCTTACTCACCCAGTGCTTGCGTGCTTGTAACGCAGCTACAGCTGCAGCAGCGCCTGCGGATGTGACTGTACCGAATGGGTTCTTCTTCCCATTCGCGGCTGCTGCCTGCGTGTTGGTGCTTCGGTTTGGGCTGCTCCCTGCTGCCCATCCTGTCGGGAAATTCGCAGACGGAAATGTACTGTAGCCGACTGACCCAATTCTGACACTATACCGAGATCTGATCTTATTCCGAGTTCGGATCTTGTAGCGAAGAATCCCGGGCGACGGATAGCCGGGGCTGGGGCGACGGCGGTGCTGCTTCCCTGTGGAGCGATGTGAGGCTGGGGGAGGCTGTGCGCGGGCGAATGGTCCAACACGGGTGTTGCCGACGACCACGCTGATTCTAATTCTTATTTTGACACTGGCACTACTGCAGATTTATTCTGACGCTGTCGAGGGGAATCCATTTTCTGATGAAACCCTCGCGGGCATGCCGTTGCGGGTGTCGCGGCTGACCCATGTGATGCCGCTGCTGCTCTGCTTGGTGACTCCCTTAATGATATCGCCGTTGAACTGTCGGCCGACTTGGAAATTCCGACGCTGGAAACCGAGTGCCTGGCTCAGTAGAAATATCAGTTGCTGCTGATGCGGTTCCTCGTTCCATCGATAAAGGTTATCCTAGTTGCACGAAATTCAGTCCTCAGGATTTTAGGTGCATCGGGATCTTTCCTGAGTGAATAAGCGGCTGCTTTCTTCCCCATCCCGCCACCGTTAGTGTGGTGCTTGAGACACACCTGACTTCATCATCCGCGATTCATCAGTTGCCGCTTTTCACGCTAGTCGTTTCTCAGAAACACAGGCAGGTTTCTTTTATACATGGACCTTGTTCCGAGCGGCACCTGCCAAAATGAGGACTAAGTTGCAGTCTTCGTCGTGGCTGTTCAGCGGCGGTGTTAGTAACAAAGTATCTACGTGTGTCTGGTCTCACAAATACCGCTTCGAACCACTTCAAAGCAGACTTTCAACCGTGTGGTACCTTACTGAAATGGGGGAGTTAACACTTACTAAACGACAGCCCCTATCTTTGTGTCATTGAAAGTTCAAGTCAGGATTGCACGTTCGGTGCTTGTGAATACTCCCTCTCTGAACGAGGTGATGGCAGCCGTGTGATGCGTTGTTTTCCACCACAAGTTTATCTGGTGCGGTACGTTTCAGAACGGTAATGAACGTTATAGACAAAAGGGCTTGCGAGAACCAACTCAAATGCCTCTATACCTGCCTCGATTCCTAATCTTCTGTTGTTAGCGTGACGGCTGTTCCGGTAGTTAGCCAACGTAGTCGAGCTGATAATGGCGACGGCGACAGCAAGGCTTTTGGAGGAGATTGTGAGCGTGGGGACGATATTAGCCGTTAGATTTGACGATGCAAGGAGGGAGTTGGAAGTGGAACAGCGGCAGAAAAGCGAAGTTACGGAAAGTCCGATGCTGACTGATAGATTGGAGAGTTTAGAGAAGCTTTTGAATGAGATGAGGGAGGAGAATATAAGCAACATAAGTGGACTTAAGAATGAGCTAGCAGCTGAGAGGGCTGCGAAAGAGGAAAAGGAGAAGGAAGTTGCTGCACTGTCGACGCGACTCTCCCAGGCAGAGTCATTGATTTTGCATCAAAAGGAGGAAACCTGCAAGCTTTGGGAGGTGAGCGAATAAGATTCTCAAATTATGTAGCCGAAACGTGAATAATGTGCTGCCTAGTAATCATCCCAGCTCTAGCCTTTTCTTACAAAACGTCAATTTCAGGCCATTTCTCAAGATTCTTGTCAGTCAACAACTGGTACAGACGTTCAGAATGAAACAAGGGTTACAATGAAGGAGATGGGAGAATTTGTCACTGCATTGGTAGCAAATACTGAGGAGGATTGGGTGCAGCAAAAAGAGGAAACGAGAAGAATCTGGGAGGTGAGAGGCTGTCTTGTCGGTGTTTCACATTGTATGCAATTTCATCCGTTTGCCATGACTAACTCGTAAGGGCATTGTGATGTCAGGCAATTTTTGTGGCTTCGCAACAACGACCGACCATTGCAGATGGGAAGTACGTGCGAGCTCATGAAGACGCGGCGGTAGTGGAGCTGACCAGC